GTCAGTGACGTATGCCCCCAGAATACTTACTGAAATAGAGTGTTAGTGCACACAGGCACAGAGGCATATGCAGTGGAGACCAGTTCTGGCAAAAATTGGCAGTGACGATACTGCATACATAGAGAAGAATTACACTTTGAGAAAACTGGCCTTTTTCAACTGTTACTGTATGGCTCATCAGCACTGTGTAAACTGCAACGTTGGCTGCTTGGTCTACCTGTCCCATTAAAGATATCTGAGGATTAATTTTGTGTACTTTTTTTTACTACTGTACATTCTCTAAATCAAGTCCAGATCTAAGCACTGTTTTTTTTTAAAAAATAAATAAATCTGTTATTAGCTCTTTGTTCCCAGATATAACAAATTTTTCTTTTGAGCTGTGATTTTTTTTTTGGGGGGGGGTGTTCAATTCAAAATCAAATATTTCCCATAGTAGAGATTAGATCCTTCATATCCATTCTCAGTCTTCTTGTTTTTTCCTCTAAATTCTATTTTTTTCAGGACCTGGGCTCATCTGGATCTAATTCGCTTCTTAGGAAAGAGTTAATCTGGATCTTTCAGCTCTTGCAGACAAGGTCCCCCCATAGAAGTCTGCCCTGCCACCTGTGCTGCCTCCTGTTATACAGCGTCAGTGCATTTGCTGGGTGGTCCTCACTATGCATGGTTCCAAACGTGCAAAATTATAAATTTTCTTCCCATGTTTTCCAAATGCTGGAGATATTCACGCTTCCATGTCTTCTGCGCTTTTTTTCTTTCACAATTCCTAGGAACTGGCTTTGTGAGGAGTCTTCTGAAGTTGTCTGCTCTGTGGTAACTCTGTTTTTCAGTTTCATTCTTCACAGGCTGTTCTCATTGAGTGTTTTCATTCTCTGGAGCCAACAGCTTGACAACCTTTCCCATGGAAAAGCCTGTCCCTTTAGCCGTCTGGTCTCACCATGAATCTCTGATACATGATTAAGGAATCTGTCACATCTGACTTAATTTAGTCACAAATACATAGCTGTAAAACATTAAAAGGGCTTTTTTGTTACTGAACTTCCAGCAGTTTCCTTTCTTTTGGAAGAGAGTATTTCCGAAACTTGTTTCTGCCGGTGTCACGGTGCCACTATGTTTGTGTAAAAACAATTCTTGTATTGTTTAGTTAAAGCCAGTGGTGTACAAAATAGTTAGGAGTGCAGTGTGCGTGCACTAGAGGAAAATGGTTTAATAGGTTACAGAGCTGTACAATGGGGAGAATGGATTCAGCAGCATGTGACTAACTGCATAAGATGAAAACCATAAAAAGAAATACAGCTTGTCTACAAGGCTTCTTTGTAAGTTACAGCACTTTCTGTGTTGTAATAGAGAACCGGAGAGAAACATTCTGTGAACCCCTAGCTATGACCAGTCAATGAGCAGCGTGAGGCTGGAGTGCCCTTAATGGGGACCTTTGGAGGGCTGCTGGCAGCTAACGTGAGAAGGTGTGGAAGGATCAGCTGTCTCCACAGATGTGACAGGAGAAAGAAATGACATGAAGGAGGAATACTCATTACCCAAAGGCTGACAAAGTGCTGAAATCTGAGAAATGCTGTTTGCTTGTCAAATGAACAAAAGCAACACTGTGTGTTTTTTATTAAGTTTGTTTTTAACAAGAACCTTTGTTCAGATGAAACTGGTACTCCTACTTGCTGCTTTGCAATAGTATTCATGACAGCTTCAAAAGCCTGTATCTTCTGTCAGGTGCACAGAATCTAAATAGTGGTGGTGCATTTTCACAACAGAGAATCATTAGATATTAATGGAATTAATTTGTTTAAGGACTACTAGGGCTGGCAACTGTCACCGTGATTGACATTTGATTGCCATCTCTTTGGGAAAATGCAGTTTATTCATCTCGGACGAAGGGAGAAAATTATAGAATTTGATTTTCTTCAGGTGCAAATAAATAAAAAGATCAAATTAAACTCCATGGCTGACAGGAACATTATAGAGACCTGTAACACTTTCTTCTGCCTCCCTTTATCTCTGTGGCTGTCAGCGTGATGGGAAACATCTTATTTAAATGATCATGAGATTCGGATTCTCTTTCCAGTGATTCTGCAATATATTTATTGCTATCTTCTAAAATGTTCACCTTTTCCTGCAGAATGATTTCAGACGCTGTGCTTTTTGACTGACTACCTAAGGACTTAAAGAATCACCACTTTTTACTAACAGGCTTGAAAGGCAAAGATTCCCAAGCCAGGTTAGGCCAGCTGTCCTCAACAGGCCCCTGTTCTGTCCCCACGATAAAAGACCTTACACTAAACAAACCAAGAAAGGTTCTTCCCAAGCCTGCTCTGCCAGAGGCCAGCTAGTGCTCTACAGGGGGAACGTGAGTGCTGTTAAACGGAGTAGGCCGACCAGCTGATGCAAACATTGTGCTTAATGTATTGACGGTTTTATTTTGTTAAAAGGGGAATCTTGCTGTCTAATGATATAACGTGTGCCTTCTGCCACCCAAAGCTGATTGAAATGAGGTCAAAAGGCAAAATTAGAATCTTCCCGGCTCCAGGTAAAACTCTGACCCTGAAAAGGGCGCTAAGAAGCAGCAAATATTTCACTGGCTTTCATGGTGCATGACGAAGGCCGATGTAAGAAACCATCTGTGGGTGTTTTCCTATTGCAAAAAAACCCAACTTTGGGCATATTTGTTTTCTAAACCACCTGATAATATTATTTCAAAGTGACGAAGCAGAAGAGTATTAAAGGACACCCCTTCATTTTAAGAAAAGTGATTTTAAGAACTCGGCCAGAGGTGAGAGGTATTACTAGAAATACTGCAGTCAAGCTTGAGGAGGAGAGACCGACTCCTTCCACTCCTTCAGCCCCTGGATAAAAGAAACCTCTGGGTTCATGTCACATTGAGTCTGCAGGAGCTTGTGCCAGTCACAGGAAAAGGCAGGCGGTGGCCTTGCTGCCAACACTGACCACCGTGCTGGGCCCCCCATTGATAGACCAATGGATGGGGACATTGAAAACGGGACTGGCAACAGGGTTGTCGTTTCAGGTAGTGAGTGGGGAGGGGGGAGCTGAGCTGCTCCCAGGGCCGCCCCCGCCTTGTTCCTGGCAGTTTGCAGGGAAGGGAGAATAGATTTGGGTGCTTGGATGTCCAGACGCCTGCCCCTGAGTGGGGAGCCCTGGACTCCAGCTGGCCCCCATTTCATCCCTAGCAAACCCACCTGTACTCTTGCATCACGAAACCTGCCGCGGAGCCCTGGCAGGGCTGCAGCAGACTGCCAGGGCCAGGGGCAGGCTCAGCCCTGCGCTGATGGAGGGCCATCTCACCCACTTTGTGCCAAAGGCAGCCCGTGGCTTGCAAAGCACCTGTCCCCGCTGCCACACAGCTAATAAAGGTGAGTTTTCCAAGACTCAGATTTCATCACTAGCTGGAGCTTGAAAGGTCTTGCTGAATGCAGTAGGAACTAATACGAGTGTTAACTGTGGGGTAACTTTGTGGTCCCTGAAACGGGCTGGTACTTTTCTCCTGTGCTTCCAGCTGAGCCAAACCGTGGGACAGCACCCCTGCATAACACTGTGCAATTCTTCAGCTGCTGGAAAGGTAATTTTTTTTTGTCTGTTTTGCTATTGCCATTCAGTGTAAATACAAATGCTTTCACGCAGATTTCTTTGCAGCACAGATTTTCTTTCTAGTCAGTGTGAAGTAATCTAGCAACAGCAGGGTCCAGCTAAGGGGAAGGTGCTGCAAAGTAGTAATTAATTAATCTAATTGAAACGAGGTTGGGCTTCATGGCCCATGGATCTGTTGGTGGCAGGCAGGGCTGATGCAGCTGACAATTATGTTGCTCAGGGTGTGCTGCGTTCAGCTTGAGAGTCAAGGTATGCATGCCAGTCTTGCTGGGCTGTGGCTTGGGGTGCTCGGCTCTAGTACTCTGTAAGTCCTTCTGTCTGTGCACATTGAGAGGTTTTCTGTGCTTCACTGAAGCTGGTGGGATTTACTGAGATGGAGTTCCAGTCTCCCATGCATCCCAGGGGAAGGTACGAGGTCAGTTGGGCAACTCCCCCAGTGTTCCCCTGCTGAGGTTTTTTGTGACTGTTTTTCTGCTGATTGTTTTAGGCTCTCAAAGCCTGAATTCAATCCTCTGGATATAAAATTCCTCAAGAGGGTGTGTATGTTTGTGTATATTTATACATGCACATGAAGCTGTGTGTCAGTATGTGTAAACACAGGCCATGTCCACAGCTTTTTTTAATCACCCAAAGTTCTGAAAGGTCTTCTGGTACAATAGTGTAATGGATGAAAAATACCATATTTGCACGTGAAGTATCAAGTAATATCTTCTGAGCTGGGCATCTCATCAAAGGGTAAGGTAACTTATTTAAGTTTTTCTCCTTTCCTAAGAATAAGTTGTTTCCTATGATAGAAACAGTTACTGTTTATGGTTTGGTGTTTTGCCTCTTTAGACATGCTATAAACTCAAACATTAAGAAGGTGAAATTTCTAGAGAGAGAGGAAGGTAGGACAGGGGATGAAAGAGGAGTGAAAGAAGCATTAGCAATTGCTGGCTTGTTTGTGAGCACAGAAGGAGATGGTGCACTTTAGCCAAAACGGTAGTGCTTGTATCTGCTTGAGTGGGCTTCGGGCTGGTGCCTGGATCCACGTGTGCTCTGTATTGAACCGCACTGGCTTCAGCTGATAGCTGCAGGGACCTAACTGCAGAGTCTGTTGTGTGAGCACAATAGAAAAACACATGTTAAAGCTCTTGTTTCTGTTCATTTCACCTTTCCTAGTTCAGGACTTTGCACCAGTGGTAGATGTACAAGTCTTGACAAAAATGTTGTAGATTAAGCCTTTAAATCACACGTGCTTTCTGTGAGGTGGGACTGGCAACCATCCAGCCCTTTTTGGGGTCATGTCAACATGTTTGTATGTTGTGTAGGAGAATGAATCTCAGTGGGATTGCTTAGGCGTTATTGAAATGCAAATATTGAATTATAATTATGTTAACAAGCACAAAAATGCAATAGATGCTCTTTTACTTGAAATTAGAGTTCAACAGAGCTCCTCTCCTCAGCATGTGCATCACGCAACTGCTATAGCAGTACTAGTCTTCCTATGGAGAGAAGAGGGAAAATGAATATTCAAAAATCGTTTTAGTTAAGCTGATGCTACTGTGGATTCTGTTCTTTCTCTCTGGCTTATTCTTTGAAATGCAAATTTTTTAAAAAGCGGGGAGATCAAGAGATGACAATCAATCTTTTTCTTCAGGGTAGGAGGAACTTTAAAAAAATAAATTTTTTAAACCTCTGTTCTCTTTAAGAATTTTTTTTATGGAAACACTGATAATATTTGTGGGGGAAGGGTGTAGAGAAGTGTGCATGTATCTGGAAACAAATCAAGTGAACTAGGATCAGAGTAAGGCTTACTAGCTACAGGAGAACATCTAGTCTTTCCTCTACCGCCTCCGTGACTGCTCAAAGTTACTTTTCTTTTGAGAAACTCCAGCCAGCTGCTCAAATACGTCATGTTGTTGTCAGCCTAAATAAGTGCACTTACAGTCTTGAGTTCAGCCTTTCCACTATTCCTTCCCTCCACGTTGCTGACCCTAGTAGGGGGACAAATGTCTAGTAAAAAGTAGCGGTTTCTGCTCAGTGCCATCTTTCCCCATTGGGCCTGTCAGCAGTGGAGGGGGACCCCAAACCTGGGTGCAGGGAGCCCTGCCAGGGTGTGTGGCCGGGGCAGCTTCACGCAGTCGGGCTGTCTGGGCACTGCCACGTGCTCTGCCTGGTGTGGGGTCACGCTGCAAAGACAGCATGGGCAAGCGCTCGGGTGTTTGCTGGTGGAGTGACCACGCGTGGCCTCTCCTCCTCTGGTGCTGTGCTTGCCCTCTCTGCGCCGCTTGCCTGTGGATGGTGTGGATAGCTGGTGAGTACGGGCCAGCATTCCTCCAATATTTTTTTGTCAGCCTCCTAAATGCATGTTTTCTTCATTTTAAACTAGATTTCATGCACACCATCTCTTCTGTTCCTGGCTGCACTGTGTTCATCCGGTTCACCTGGCCTTGCTCTTTGGTATCCCGTGGTGAATAACCTTGCTTCATCACAGGAGATGCTCAACTGTTAGCAACTTCTCTCAGCTTGTTGGTTTCAAAATGACTTGTGGTCACTTCTAGGAAGGCATTTAAGGAAAATGCATGCATGATGTTTTTGCTTCTTTCTCTGATGAATATAAATATTTATTGTTGTTAAAAAGGGAAGTGGTAGATGTCTGAAATGGAAAGGGACATTTACTGAACTCTTTGTTTGATTTGTCTTTCATAATCCTGGGGTGCTTTACTAAGAAGAAACACATAAGAAAACTTTGTCCTTTGTCTCTTTCTGTCTGATTAGTTTACGCTTATCAATGAATGTTGTTTAAAACTACCTGACATCTGTTCTTACCTATAAACTTACACTAAAGAGGATGAAGTCTATTTTGTCATCCCAGATATGCCAGGAGATGTCCATAAAATTATAAAAAACATAATAATTGCACTTATTTGTATTGAGCTAATCAGTATTAGAACTAATCCATCAGCTTTCAGTAATGTATTCAACAGAGGGACTCCAATTTGTCACAATCTGTCTTCCTGAAAGACAAAAAATGTGCGAGAGTTTTCTTTTATAATATACAGAAAATAAGGTCCAAAATGGTGGTTAAAAGGGTCCATTTTGTCATTGTCTGGCCTAGCATTGCCTAGAGTATTGTGATAGATTCATTAGTCACTAACAATGTCTTGAGACCCTCTGCCTTGAAAATAGATTCTCCGTTTATGGGGAAAAAAATGGCCACATTGTATGTGTGTGTGTGTGAAGGCTGCATTTGTAAGAGTTGCTACTGGTTCTAGGCATTGGGGAACAAGTTACCTTCCTACCCAAGGCCAGCCTGATGTAAAGCAAGATGTTCCTTAAAGTATTTCACAGTAGCTTCAGAGTGTGATAACATTGGCACTGGCAAGCAAGTATATATGCTGTTGCATAGTCTGCTGTCAGTGAAAAGGAGAGAGCAGGAGTGTGAGGAGAGATATGTGTCTTCAGGTATTGTGTCCGGCACTACAGCAATGTTCTCTGAAGTGCTGTAGATCCAAGGGAATGTAATGAATGGTGTTAGCGACTCGGGAGAATAAGCTTCTTCAAACAAGACAGCCAAACTTCATTGCAGGGGAATACAAACCCAATGGGCCTTAAATCTTTTCCCCAAAAATGTATTAGTGAGGAGGAAGAAAGAACAGCTAGGGAATTAGATGGCTATTTTCTGGTGTGCATATAGGCCACAAGTCTTGTTTATCCAATGTGAGCTGAACCATACTGTTTTGCTACAACATAAAGCAGAGTCGTAAAACTGGGGTTCCAGCATGGCCATGTGACCTTGGTCAGGTTATATACTACTGTTCCTCTAAAGCATGGCTTTACAGAAAGGAAAGGATTTGGGAAGGCAAATGGAGACTTTGCTCATGTTGAGAAGCTTCTATTTCCAAAATGCCCCTTTCTACAGCACCCAGAAGAAACCCTAAAAGAGGTGGCTGGAGTGTCCATCCGTCTGCTGCGTGTGCAGACCCAGCAAGTGGGGGCAACGTGCTGAGGTATTTAGCTGCAAGTACCACGTTGGCCTTAGCTGCAATCATCCATCCACTCAGCCACCGAAAGGACACTTCTGCTTCTGGATTTGGCAGAGCCTGTATCTGTCTCTTGCTCCCCCGAAGCAGGGGACTGAAGGCTTTGTCCCTGCCTGTCCTGTGGTTTCCCTCCTGCCGCTCCCACTGGCCAGAAGGATTTTCTGAAATATCACAAAAGCACCGTGGAGTTTCCTCCTTCTCTCTGTGTTTCTGCTGTGTTTCTGGCTCCTCCACCTTTCTTCCCCTAAGGGCAAGGTCCATTTAGACATAAGCACGGCCTAGGTATTGTACCACAGAAACCAAACCAAGAGCATCTCCAATACTTGTAGGCAAAAGCCAACACAGAACTGGTAAACTGATAATGATAGAAAGCAGAATTCTTGTTCTGTCATTAAAACTCTGATTAAGGATTTCAGTCCAAATCTCTTTGGGCAATTACACAGATTTGCTTCATTCAGCCTATTGCCCAGGACCTGCAGGCATGCACCAACAGCCAATTTGTACTCTGTGCCAATTAGCATGCTGAAGTTTATCCTGTTAGAGATGCAGCCTGCCACGGGAGGAACACAATGACTCTCCACATCTATTTAACAGTGACACAAGAGGAACCCAGGGTACTGGGTTCATCTGCTTCCGGGTTTATCTGCCATCCATCGCTCATCTTAAACTTGTTTGAGAGATAATCTATATTTTATTGCCCACAGTGGGGGGCCTATAGTGAGCTAAGCTTCTTAAAAGTACATTTAAAAAAAAAAAAAAGGAAAATAATAACAGGAACTGCTGTTGGGAAATAGGTGTGAAGACAACTATCTCCTCATAAAAGCGAAGAGGTGTAGAACTGAAGTTTAAGCTAGGAGTGTGTGTGGTTGCAGTCACTTTTCCATGGATTATACGTTCTCACAGCTATGGCTGCTGTGTTGCTGCTCTCCTGCCTGTTGCTGCCAGGAAGACTGCGTGTGCTAAATTTGGGTTTTGCAGCAGCGAGGGCCATCTCTTGGCCTCCAGAACTGATTATTGTAAGCATCAAATTCATATATAGGTACAGGGAAATTTAAGAGGTGACAACTTTTAACTAATTTACTCATCTAGGTTACTGGAGATTTGAGGTCTTTGTTTTGCATATTCTTTTGTTACACTGGGAGACTGTGCCTTGCATCACAGCCAGTATCTTTCTATCAATGTTTGGTGTGTGTGGGCTCCCTTACAAAAGAAAACTCTATTGTTCTCTGCACGGTAACAACCTAGAAGAAAGTGACTTTCCTTAAAAATTCATTTCTGCCTTGACGTGCGCAGAGCAAGAGGAAACATTTTTCCCCAGGGAGCTGAGAGTGTTAAGTCTCGAGCACAGCGGGGCTGCGTTCTGATGAGATTTAAATGCTGTTATAGTACAGTGCCACTGTGACTATACTAAAGTAGCTGCTACAAAGCTGTATTTAATGCCCAATTATGTAAGGTATAACTAAACGTTTCAAGCCATTACAAAGTTCCTGCAGGACTTCTAAACTCTCCAAAATATACAACTGTTGTTAAAATCTTAACTAATATTCTGGGATCTGTGGGTTTTGTCGTGTGGTGGTTTTTTGGTCGGTGTTTAAGAGGAGTTAGTCTCCTGTGAATTCCTACTTGTATTACAGAAGAGAAGGAACCCAAAATTTCTTGTCAGTACTTTGCAATGCCATTAGTTTCCCTTTGAGACCCCATTTAAAAGCCTATGGGCATTCTAGCAGCAGTTGTACAATGCTGGTAGTAAAAGTCACATAAGCCTTAGTTTGAGTATACAGTGAGCAGCATCTAGAAGCCACGCATTCTTTCTACTTGCGCTGGTAAGCCTGCAGTCATGTCCTGAACCACTTTGCATTTGGTACTTATCATCCATTTGCCATGATTCTCTCCTAGGTGCAAGATGGAGGGGCTTCTTCTGAGCTCTTCAAGTTCAGCTACGCAGAGAACCCAAGACTCGCCCAGGGTTTGACCCAGAATTCAGGTTCAGCTCAGTGCTCACCCATGCTTTCAAGGTCTGTCTGGTGCTTTGGCCACAAAACCAGGACTCGAGAAAAAACTGCACTAGGAGGCTTATCACATAAATTTGTTGAATTTCCCTGGATATTTGGACATCACGTTCTGATTGCTAAAATTCTGTATCAAAACCAAAATTATAGAAGTGCTCAAGTAGTCTTTTTAATAATATTGGAACAAAATTGTTCCCTCTTTCTGTGAAAGTTTCCAAGATATTTGCTTTTCAGTCTGTTTTTGGAATGAAACCACACTTTGAAGCCCAAGGGGTTTCCTCAGGGAGAGGGAAGCTCCTTTTTCAGTCGGCTCTGCAGAGAATGATCCTCTTGGAACCTTAGAACCAACTCCCTCTTGTCACAGATGCAGACATAAAAGCAAAATTGGTGGAGATAAATTCATAATTTCATGGTGCTTTAATTCTTAAAGGAAGTCTCTTCTGTCCTCTCCAGCCACCTCCTGAAACTTACTAAAATTAAAGCTCCTTGAACTAAGTCTTCATTTTGCTGATCTTTCCTTTCTGTGCTGTGGCTGGAGCAGTAGGGCTGGGGGAAATGAAGGCACACAACGTACTGAACCATTTTTAGGCTGCAGCTCTGGACTCTGCTCCCTTTTTGCTCTCTGGAAAGCTTTTTGCAGGTTTTAAAATGACAGGTTGTGAGCCAAAAGCACAAACATACTTGGCCAACATACAGAGGGTTGTGAAAGCAGTGTTCTTGAAAAATGATTCATTGTACTTCTAAAACCCATCACATCCCAAGTAGTAGTGTACCATCATGACTTTCCCTTCTTAGCACCTATTAAAGAGAATCCCTTGGCTAATCCTTCAGCGATAATGAGCAGAATGATGGTAGTCATAGAAACTGCTGCTTACATATCTGTGTTTTGCACAAAGTCCAGAGTATGGCTAATTACGCAAGTGATGGAAATTTGTTTCCGCCCTGTATGAACCCCTGCCATTTTATTAGCTCTAAGCAAGTTTCCTGTTCAAAAATGGTATAACTACATCTGTTCTTTAGCTGGCGTGTTGATAGTGATGTTAAGAGGACTTTCTAAACACAGTGCTTGCCATCTATTATTAAAGGGCCTCTTGAATAAATCTTATTCAGGGACAAAAAAGGAATTGACTGAGGTGGTCATTGTATCATAAATAGGCTCTGTTAAACAGGTCCTGAATTCAATGCATCACGTTTAAGACTGCTTTTTCCAGTGCAGGTTCAGATCTGTTGCTCTGAGAGTTGACCAGCAAGTTACGTGTCCTTGCAGCTTCAGGCTTGGAGAACGGACTGATTTTCATCACACCCACTAAATTACGTGGATGTGAGAGGGTGCTACTTGGGGCAAACAAATGTGGTGATTGGGCATGTTTAATGAGCCTTTTGCCTACAAGGACTTCAGACTTTTTTGGCTCTTGCTAAGTTTGTCTAGTTTAAATTCTCTTGCATAGCCCAGTAGAGCTGGCAGACTACTAAGTGCAGTTTTATACCAACCTCCCCATGCCAGCTCAAGGGAGAGATCAACAAACAGGGAAGAGCCCAGCAGAGTCTGGCTAAAGTGGTCAGGGGACCGTAGCACGGGATGTACAGGGAGAGGCTGAGGGAAAAGAGTTCAGCCTGAAGAAGAGAGGTCAAGGAAGGGGCCTAATAGCCATCTTCCACTGCCTGAGGGGGTATTGCAGAGGAGATGCAGCCAGGCTTTTCTCAAGGGTGCAGAGCAAAAGGACAAGATTGGAGGTAACCGGTTCTGTTGTGATGAACTTCCTAAGCATTGGAACAAGTGCTCAGAGGGCTCTCAGTCCTGGGAACTTTCAAAACTCAACTAAACCAAGCCCTGCACAACCTGGTCAAACTTTGAAGCTATCCTTGCTTTGAATAGGAGGTTGACTACAAGATCTCCAAAGGACCAGCATTTATTTTTCTGTGAAATGAGGCAAGGAACAAGGAAGTTACTTCAGGTCACACACAAAACTTGTGTCCAAGTCAGGAGAAGAGAACATGCATCCCCTAATTTCAAACCATTGTTGCACGGGGTAACCTGTATTGCTTTTCTGGCACAACAATATTTCCCTGATGAGCCTTACTTCAGAGCATTCATGATCTAATTTAACAAACAGCTTTTTGTCCCCTCTTTTAAAAATAAATAATGAGAGAGGGGGAAAAAAAGAATATTTAAACTCTGCTTCAAGAGTATCTTAAAGAAGTGGTGCTTTTAAGTCCTGTGCTTTTCCCTATGGCTTTTGTGGAACTGTGCCCATGTTGAATAGGAGCCGCCCTATGTTCTACAAGGGTCTTCCTTTCCTCCAAAGATGTTTTTCTTCAAAAACAGTAATGGTTAAGGTGCATCTGCATTCCTGGAAACCATATTTCAAAACAGAAATAGTAAGTATATTCAAGTGCTAATATTTTCTGGCATTATCCATATCTTGGTTACCTTGAATGATGCCACTGAATTTTTTATTAGCAGAAAGGAAATATTTTTCCTGTGGTTCATGAGGTGGCTGGTGTTATCTCAACTATTGTTGCTGAATTTTAGCCTGAATGTGATCTTCTAGCTGTCAGTATAAATTGCAACAGTGTTGGGTATGTCTGTGAGGTTATTTTTTGCTGTATTAAAATATTTCATGAAATACAGACCCATGAATCTGAGTTAGTAATTATGAATACTTTAAAATTTATGAAGGCATCTGGTAATAAAGCTGCAATATCTCTAAGTCTTGGGTGGGGGGGAAGAACCCAACAAAACCCCACCTGTATTGACTTTATTAATATAAACTTTTATTATCAGGTTCCTGCAGATGTTTCTCAAACTACATTTGCAGAATTCCCCCTTCACCTATAATACAAAATTTGTGTGTTTACCACTGCCCAACCCCTTCTGGCAGGCATAATAATTCTTACCCAACCATCTGTTCTGTGCTGATCAGCCTCAGGAAATAAAACACAGTTTTGCTTTCTCCACCTTGGTAGAGCCTTTGGCTGCACTACAGTATACCCTAAAATAAAAAAAAAAAGAAATAATAAATTCTACAGATTAAAAGAAACTAAAGGAAAAAAATAAGTAACTTGCTTATTTGCTACAGCTCTGTGATCAAGCGGCAATCCTTACAGCCTTTGCTTGTCTCTAGCAAAGGTCTCAGTCCTGGAAAGGGAGTGATACTGCGCATGGCTGCAAGCCTGTTGGCGAGGGACGTGGTGGCAAATCTGGCTCTCGCCTCTTGTGCAAGACCAGGGACAGGCCAGACCTCTCAGTCTCTCAACATGACCTCCCCACTCCAGCTCTGGGGATGCCATGTAAGGTCAGCACACTTGCTTTGCTGCAGGGCTTTGAGCTTCCTGCAGCATTTAGAAATCTAACAACTTAGTTTAGGCTCTCTGAAGGGATCCATTGCCTCTTGGGCCCCATCCTTCTGCAAGCACTTTTGCACCTGTTTACCTCTTCAGTTAAGAATACACTTTCCTTAAAATCTTTGAACAATTGCAGCTTGCGAGAATGCTAAATTTCTCCCCCTGGCCACCATTGCAGCCACTGGAAGGCACTCTGAAATGCCTTCTTGCAGGAAGGGCATATTCTGCACAGAGCATAAGCTTTGGCCTGAGACTTAGGGCAGCTAGCTTGGATAATATCACTAAGTACTGCAGGTTTAAAAGTTGTTCAAGTCCACTTTGTTCATTGCTTTGTCTTGTTTGAAACTTTAGGGCAAAGTCTTTCCTTCTATGGATCTAAACACCATGAGGTGACCTGGAGCTTACTGACCTCATGGTTTTACTCTGGGGTAAATCCTAGAAAAATGGCAGGTATAAGCTGTGAAGTTAAAAAAGCTAGAAACAGCTGCATGGTGTCTTAAAGTAAGCTTTCTCTTGGTGTCAAGATGGAGGGCAAGGCTTGATTTTTAAATCCCCCACAGGTGATTTCAATAAAATTGAATCCTGAAGGTGAAAGTGATTTCTTCTTTTAAATTATTTTTGTTTTATTTCTCAAAGGATTATGTGTTTGTGTTTCCAGTTATCCCAATCTACTGGGAAGGGGCTGAACTGCACCCATGGCATCTATGAAATCCTAATGTTAAGTTGTTTTAATGATATGCATAATCACTTTGATGCTTAGACAAATCTGAATTAGGGGGAACAGATTTAAGCCCGCTCTTTCATGGGGAATCAGCCTTCATTATGGAGCAAATGCCTTCAGGATCAACTCAGTCAAACCTAGACAAGTTATGTTGGGGCAGCCATACTGAAAAATAACTTTCTAATGGACCTTATCAGCCTCTGGGAAGTTCTCATTAAGCTACAGCCTGTTCCTTCTGAGAGGGCAGGGAATAGGAGGTAAAACCACAGTGCTGCTCTGCTGAGCATGGGGACTCTCAGCTCAGTATGGGCACTGACTCTTGCCTTTTCTGGAGGGCTATGGGCTAAAAGAGCTGTTATGATTTGGGCTGGAGATGTCTGCAAAATAAACTTGTTTGCTTTGTTGATGACGGTATCCCATTCGCCACAGCCCAGCTCTGCTGGTGAAAATGCTCAGGCAGTCCCTCTCTAATCACTTCACTTTGGGACAGCCAAGGAGCCAGCAGGTCTGAGCTGAGGCTGTGGAGAGGTATCCTTCTCTGGAGCTACCTATATCCATACCTTACTCCAAATGCTGACCACTGTGTATGTCCCTGCCTCTCCTCTACTGCTAGAGGTTACTGTCCTCTTTGATCTCCTGGACTGGCTGATAATGTGAACTTCCATCAGGCAAAATCAGCTGGGTTAGGCTAAACTTAGGCTCAGCTCCTCTAAGGTGTTTAATTGCCTTGGATGTTTACCTGCCTCATTAGGCATTTGCTATCCATCAACCTGCTACCCAGCTGCCACTTAATCTTCTGCTGCTGAGCACTGATAGAGCCACCTATGCTGTGGTTATCAGCAGTTTTAGCACTAGCACAAACAGGGCCCAGAGAGTTGTGGTGAATGGAGTTCAATCCAGTTGGCGGCTGGTCATGAGCGGTGTTCCCCAGGGCTCAGTTTCGGGGCCGGTCTTGTTCAATATCTTTATCAATGATCTGGATGAGGGGATCGAGTGCTCCCTCGGTAAGTTTGTAGATGACACCAAGTTGGGCGGGAGTGTTGATCTGCTCGAGGGTAGGAAGGCTCTGCAGAGGGACCTGGACAGGCTGGATCGATGGGCCCAGGCCAACTGTATGAGATTCAACAAGGCCAAGTGCCGGGTCCTGCACTTTGGCCACAACAACCCCATGCAGCGCTACAGGCTTGGGGAAGAGTGGCTGGAAAGCTGCCTGTCGGAAAAGGATCTGGGGGTGCTGGTTGACAGCCGGCTGAACATGAGCCAGCAGTGTGCCCAGGTGGCCAAGAAGGCCAATGGCATCCTGGCCTGTATCAGAAATAGTGTGGCCAGCAGGAGCAGGGAAGTGATCGTGCCCCTGTACTCGGCACTGGTGAGGCCGCACCTCGAATACTGTGTTCAGTTTTGGGCCCCTCACTACAAGAAGGACATCGAGGTGCTGGAGCGTGTCCAGAGAAGGGCAACGAGGCTGGTGAGGGGTCTGGAGAACAAGTCTTCTGAAGAGCGGCTGAGGGAACTGGGCTTGTTTAGCCTGGAGAAAAGGAGGCTGAGGGGAGACCTCATCGCTCTCTACAACTACCTGAAAGGAGGTTGTAGCGAGGTGGGTGTCAGTCTCTTCTCCCAAGTAACAGGCGATAGGACAAGAGGAAATGGCCTCAAGTTGCACCAGGGGAGGGTTAGATTGGACATGAGGGAAAATGTCTTTACTGAAAGAGTGGTGAAACATTGGAACAGGCTGCCCAGGGAAGTGGTTGAGTCACCATCCCTGGAGGTATTTAAAAGACATGTAGATATGGCGCTTAGGGACATGGTTTAGTGGGCATGGTGTTGTTGGGTTGACGGTTGGACTCGATGATCTTAGAGGTCTTTTCCAACCTTAATGATTCTATGATTCTATCTCTGAAGACCTCAGCTGGGGTTTTAAAACCACACCACCATCGCCCCTCGCAAATTATCACACTGGTGTACCCAGAGAAAACAAAAACAAAAGATGGTCAGCCAGACCCCCAGCTTCTCTTGGAAGAAATATAGGAAGGGTTATGCCCAAACTAGCAAGCTGACTAGGATGAGATGCTTCTGCTGTCTCCCCCCATGCAAGTGGATGTCCTAATCCCATGTCCAGCAGTGACCTGCCTTTCCTCTGACTGCACAAAACAACTTCTGACTAGCACTCAAATGCCTTTCTCTGATCTTTAGAGGAATCAAAATTATGTTTAGGCTGTTGACTGTACACTGATGTCTCCAGTGAAGGAAAAAATCAAAATGATGTTGCCGCCTTATCTGTAAAGTCTACCTGGAATCACAATGACAGACCCACATCCATTGAAAGCCAAAATTTATTAGTGGTCCAGCTCCATTGATGAAGGACAAGAGAAGAATTCAGGTACAGAACTTAATTCTTTGAATCCTCATCCTCTCTTCTTAAATGTTTTGATAAGAAAGATAAGGATGTGGAAAGGAACAAAACAGAGCCAAAACTTTTGAAGTCTTAACTCTCTGGTAACTTGTCTATTAGCTGATGCTCAACTGACAAGTGAGGTAACTTTTGAGCTGCACTTCATTAGTTGTAGGAAATAACCTGAAACTTAGTAATTTATACCTTGCCTCTTTAAGATAACATTTCCCAGTGTTGGAAGGAAGAACACATTTTTTTCCCCCAGGCTTTTTATTATAAGCCTTTCATCATCCCATGTGTGACAACCTACCAAAGGAATAATCCCCAGTTACAACACACAGGAGTGTTTTGTAACTAAACTCACTGGCTGGTAGTTTTTTTTGGGGGGGTTTTGTTTATTTTTAATCAGTTCTAGAGGTACAACACCAAACCCTAGTTTACTTACTTTCCTTATGCAAAAAAAGCAGGGTATTGGACTGGAGGAATCCACTTTAATAGTGGTCTTTTCCCTTCAGAAAGTTAATAGTGCATTGTATCTGGAATATAGTATTTAGCATCTGCTGTTAATATCAACCTGTCTGATAATGTAGTAGTACTCTTGCACCTTCCTAGACAGTCGCAGAGTGCCCAGTGACATGTGTCAGTCTGTACTTGGGATTAATCTAAACAACAGGCACAGCTTAGAGGAAATCAGGAAACCCAAATCATGAGCCTTGAGCTAACTTTGGCTGAGGATTGTCTCCCTGTGTAGCTAGGGAGTACTTATGATTGTGATAAGTTTGTAAAAAATTGGCTAGTTGTAAGTAGCACTGTCTATATTATTAAAAAAAAAAAAAATCCTTTTCTCTCTGCTCAACAATGAGGACAGACCTTTGCAGCAAGGAGTCAGAATTGCACAAAATCTGAAATGGTTCAAACATCTTAGTGTTCCCTTTGCAGCTTGGCCTGATGGCAAGATTTACACAGGACTGTAAGGTCTTTGCTATACTTAATGAGTTTTGGAAAAGCAGACTGTGTGTAAGAACAGCCTGGAAAGGTTAGGCAGCTGACATTTCAGGAGGCAGCAAATAACACAAGTTGATAATGTCAAGGAGCGGTGCAAACAGTCTTTTGAGGGCTACAGGTGGGTCCCAGATAAATGCTGCAATAACTGGCAACTTCGATTTAAAAATTATGTTTTGGGTAGCAGTATTATTTCCTGTTTGCCTGTGAGACTCGCCAGAAATGTCAGACAGGGATGGTGATATTTTACATATGACATTTTTCTTTCTCGCTCTTTCCAGAGGTTGTAAAGATCTTCCTCAGTAGAACACCAATACATAAAGCTGGCTTGAAAAGAGAGCCCTGATAAGGATCCAGTGCTATGAAAGTCTGACAGACACCACTTTCTTAAGCTATACCATAGGATTCTGTGTTCGGCATGGAATTTTGGTCTTGAAAAGTGGTAGCTGAAAATTTGCAGCCTTTGATGTAACCGAACTCAAATATTTGGGGATAATTCCGCCAGTGAGTAGTGA